AGTAAATAAAGAGTTAAGAATGAAAGAGAAAGCAATTCAATCAAAAGGAAATGGATAAGGCGTAGCTAAGGTGAAGAAAAGAAGAACTTTTACGTCGGGCGCCAAATTGTCGTAAAGCGACAATTAAAAACTAAATAACCTAACCTAACTACAACAAAACAACCAAAAATAAAATAAATTATTTAAAAATTTGAAAAAATTTACAGTTTCTTTTATAAAAAAAGGTATGAAGGTGATGATGGGCTGTAATGATGATAGTGATTTACAATATTATTAAAAAAAAATAACAAAAATAAAGATACTGCAACGAAGTATGCACAGGCTATGCCTATGATAGGTGCACAGCGCCTGCTCTAGGTACACGCAGAATCTGGAGAAAGCACATGCAGCGTCTGGAGAAGGTACACGCAGCGCTTGGAGTAGGCACACGCAACGCCCGGAGCAGATACACGCAGCACCCGGAGTAGACACGCAGCGTCTGGAGTAGGTACACGTGGCGCTTGAAGTAGGCAAACACAACGTCCGGAGTAGACACACACAGCGTCCGGAGTAGACACGCAGCGTCTGGAGTAGGAACACGCAGCGCTTGAGACAAGCACGCTCAGCGGCCGAAGATAGCGCGGGCACTAATAGGTGGAGGCGTAGGCGTGGCTAGGCGACGACTTCAGGAGAAGGCTTGCAAGATCCCGAGGCAGTGCGGATAAAGCCTTTAAGAGGTGCTTCTCGTATCAAAGCTGAAGTGAGGACCTCTATCGGCCGATTCTTCGGCTTTTATACTTTTTGACGGATCTGGGATAAGAACGAGAAATTATTTTGAAATTATTTAAATTAAAAGCAAATTTTTGTAAATGGCCAAGAAGAAAAGAGTATTTTTGAAGTAAAAACATCAGGCCGGTAACAATATTTGAATAAAAATTGCCACGACAACCAGATAAACAACGATGTCAAAACATGTCAAATTTTGGTTTTAAGCTCGTAATACAGAAACGGCAAGATTTAAGTGAAAAATGAGATATTATTTATATAGGAAAAAAGGTAGCGCAAGAGCGCGCACGAAACCCGAAATTGTAGAGTTACGGAGAACTAAATAAAAGATCGAAAAAGGTAGACTCCATTGACACCGATTTAAAAAGTGCTGATAACGTGAAAATACGAAGTGAAAATGATTTGTTATTGTGTTCTTATGAATTAAAAATATTACAGGATCCTATGGAAATAAAGGTGATGCAAAATATCCAGTTTTGAGGTGAATGTAGAAAATCAAAAACAGAATGGAAAAATAAAAATAAAATAGTGTAAAATGATATGTAAGTATGTATGTAAGCATAACACTACAAGGTATTAAACATCAATTTGCCACCGCTGAATATGACTTCTCTCAGTGGAAGATGTGCCCCAATAGTATGGAAGATGACGTGTTGACGACCCAATACATAACGTCTCGCGCATTTGGCGCTGCTTCCCGTCAGTAATTTGTATACTCGTATTTTTCACATATCGTAAAGAGTGTTCTTCACCTGGTATGTATAGGACTGTTACGCCGCTATATGTACTAAGATCTTTTAGGTATTTCGTAATTCCTATAGTCACGTCGATGAATTTTCTTAACGTTGCCAACCCACTGCAAATATTAATGAAGTTTTCATAACAATTTTTTAAATCTTTATTGCTTCCCCTTAGAAAAAAATGGATACAAAGGGCGGAAATAATGCCTAAAAGCATTTTCTATCAGTCAACCCTTAATGTGGTGAGAGATTGTCGTAGGTGTAGTCATTAAAAGAAAAAAAAAAAGAAAAACTAAAATTAATACACATTATAAAACAGATTATGATATATTTTTTTTTTTTGATATACTGTATATTGTACATTTACATATATTAATATATATTTATATATATGTGGATATAAATATATATAAGTACAAAGTTAATACATATTTTTTTATTAAAATTGAAGCGACAAACGATTTTAGGGTCTACTTGACGGTAAGTTGTTACTGTAGTCCATAGACACCTACAGCACTATCTGCTCATTCAAACCAGGAAGAATACAGAATGCCTGTATTCTGGCTCTCTATACCCTTAGCATCTGATCGCAGCAGTGAACGCACTATTATACATATAGTACGTCCACTGCTGTGAAATAGGTAAAAGTTTGGTGCCTACCCATGCGGATTCCTCAGCAGAAACCGAGTACTAGTTGCTAATAAAGAAGACGTAAAAGCTGTATGCAAAATCATTCAAAACAATATGACGTTTCATTGGTAACTTGTCAATATGAGTTAGCACTTAAATTTTTATTTATTGGGAGATTACCGCATTAAAGTTAAAAGTTAAAGTTACAGCCTATATACGTCCCACTGCTGGGCACAGGCCTTCTCTCATTTCTGAGAAGGTTTTTGAGCAAGGAAGTGTCCATCGCGCTGCCTCAATGCGTGTTGACGAACTTCACTTCTTCGAATATTTTTTTATTTCTTAGACATGCAGATTTCCTCACGATGTTTCCTCACGATGTTTTCCTTCACCGCCGAGCACGTGGTAAATCAGCACTTAAAAATGCAATTATAAATTTTATTGGTGCCGCCGGGGATCGAACCCGGATTGCTCGCGTACTGTAAAATTTACAGCTAGCGCTAACCATCTGAGCTACCACGGCTCCTCCGCTATTATCGCATTATCATTATAAAACTCCTCTTCCCCATCAAACAGCCGTTTAAACACAAAAGGAGTCTTACCACCTACATGTTTAGATGCTACATTAAAATTAACGTAAAAAGAAAACAACTGCACTGAAAATATACTGACGAAAATTACGTCCAAATGAATAGAGAAATTATATGCAAATGACAAAAGAATATTGTTATACGGACATTTGAAAGAGCCAGTAAGCAGTGCAAGTTTGCCCACGAATAATGCATTTCGTTCTATTATTTTAAGTTAAAATCCTGTCTATAGCGTTGAGCTGTCTCGTGCCTCGGGATACACTTTGCGGATTTACTATCCGTCCCTCGCGTTAATAATACTGGTCCTACGCCGTTCATGTTGCTTAAATTCATAGAGATTCACATTATCATTGTTAGTCAAGTTGGTACTAATGGCACAAACTTAATTAGTTTGTATCTAAATGGCAGATTTTGACGTGTGTTGTGAAAGAAATCATTTTGTTTTCCATGCTGATGGGAAGCGAAGTCGTTTGCTCGTGTACTGTGAAATTGGAAGGCAAGCGATTATCCTCTGAACTATCACAGCTCTGATAAATTTTTAGTAACATAAAAATATGACGTTTGTTACTTTAATGTAAAGTTTTCTTCTAAACACGCAAGAAAATAAATTTCATTAGTTGATGATATTTTTTTTTCATTAATTAAAGCCTACAAAAAGTCCATTTCTGACCATATGCACCCGTAGACTGTCTCATAGGGGAAATATTTTGCCATAGTCCTTTTTAAATTATTTTCAGGAAGATGTTATCGCCCATCTTCTCTTTCATTTTCCTTTGTCGCCTTGCCACGGGATAATAAGGGCAGTAAATTCTTTGAGCAAATATCTGTCTATTTCTTATAATTTATTTGATATCATTGTTAAGGAGTAAAAGATAATTGTTAATGTATGGGAGTAGAGTTTGAGAGCCGTGGTAACTTAGGGGCTAGCCATTATTTCCCCGTACGCTGTAACTAAGCGAAAACTAGCCGTAGTAATTCAGGAGGTTAAGCGCGTAAATTTCACAGTATAAGAGCAACTCGGGTTAGATCCCCGCCGGTACCTCTGATTCTGATCTGATTTACCACGTCCACGGTAAAGGACAACATCGCGAGGAAACCTGCATGTCTGATAAATAACAAAAAAAAATATTTCGAAGACATGTGAAGTTTGCCAACACTCATTGGGACAGGACGGTGGACATTTCCTTGTCCTAAAACCCTCTCAGAAATGAAAGGAGATTTGTGGCCAACAGCGGGACGTAAATAGGTTGTAATTTTAACTTAACTTAATACTTGTTCCGTGCAGGATTTGAACCCGCAGCCCTGAAGCGCCCCAAACAAACGCTTAACCATTGCGCTACCGAGCCTGTGAATTAAAGGGGGCTAAATAATTAGGTCAATAGAATGTAATAATTTTCCTTTAATTAATTTTCTACATTCATTTTACAGCGCTTAATTACCCGACTGTTTGGGCATTCTTATAAAATTGTGTTTATAATAATCTGTGTCAATTATGTTTATATTACGACTTAAGACCTGAATGTAATAATTTTATATAGCTGCCATACAAAATTCAGTTACATTTATATGATGTGGTATAGTGAGCAAAATTCATTTTAAAATATTGCACATTATATTATTATACATCTAATATATCCAATTCATGAGTCCCCATTTATAGCCGTAATCAAAAACGGTCTTGGACAAAAAAAACTTAGTGGATTTAATAATTATTTATAAATCCTCTTTAATATCCTCCAGATTGAATTGCGCTTATGGCGGGCTGTGTTTGCTACAGATTTGAGCTTAGTGCTCAAATCTGTAGCAAACACAGGAGCATGGTCTTTATCTAACACGGCCGTGGAGAGATCAATCGCAGGGCCAACGGTTTTACGTGCTTGCCGAGGCACGGGGGTAAAACACCGCTAACTTCCTAACTCTGGCCGGCTATTTTGAATTTATTGACAGAAAATGACAGAAAACCCCATTACTGAATAAATATTAAATATTTTATTATTTGTATACACATATATATATATATATAAATTTGCAGAGAAGGTTCAGAATAAGTAATATAGGCAAATGGTGAAGAAAGATTCATTAAAATAAAATATCTAACATTTTGTCCTTTTATCTTTTAAATTTCAAATGCATTATTTTAACTGATGTTACTGCGCACGCACATATTCTTAAGGGTCGATCAGTAAGCAAAAACGTTGTTGCCCATAAATCTAATATTACCCATATATATACTTATTTTACCTGGAAAAAAGAATATATTGATTTAATTTTTTCACAGAATCGAAACCAGAGCTAGTGTACTGGTTTTCAGAGCAAACTTTGCAACCTGGACCCAGCGTGTCTCTAAAGTGTGTCGCCATGGGTCATCCACCACCTCAGTTTTCGTGGATGCTTGACGGATTTCCCATACCAACTAATTCAAGGTAATTACAAATTATACAATTTAGGGTTCATGTTCTATATTTTTCATCTAATTTGTAAGATATGAAATGTGACTATTAACTTAAGATAACTTCAAAAGCGATCCTCGTAACATAACACAAAAATTCACAAGTATCGAAAAATGGCTATACACCGTGACATAATGAGACGATTTGATTTTCGCCATTTTGGCGCTGAAAGAAGGAGTGAAAGTCCACGGAACTAATAGAGATAAGACAGAACATGGGGGGCCTCCCCCAAGGAATGCCACAAAGCTGAGCCACTTGCATCCATCAACCTCCTGCGTATCTTACCAGGTCGTCACTCTATCTAGTGGGGGGATACCCTACACTTCTTCTGCCAATACGAGGCTGCCACTCGAGAACCTTTCTTCCGCATCAGTTATCGGTTCTTTGAGCTATATGGCCGGCCCACTGCCACTTCAGCTTACGAATCCGTTGGGCTATGTCGGTCACTCTGGTTCTACTGCGGATATCCTCATTTCTAAGTTTATCACGCAGAGAAACCCCGAACATAGCCCTCTCCATAGCTCGCTGAGTGAACTTGAGCATCCTCATACCCGTAGCCAGCAGTAAAGGACCACGTCTCAGATCCATAGCTCATCACCGGCAACACGCACTGGTTGTACAATCTAGTTTTGAGGTTTCGAGGGATGCCTGACGAGAAGATGTGTCATAATCTCCCGAATGCTGCCCAGCCGAATTGAATCCGTCGATTGACCTCTCGGGCGAAGTTGGACTTACCTAGTCGGACTTTTTGTACCGGGTAAACATAGTCGTCAACAACTTCGAGCTTAGTGCTCCCAACAACCACTGGCGTAGGTATCTGAGGACAATTTTATCTTTATTTTAATTAAAAATGCAGTGACAAACGAACTCTCAGTTAATCAGCAGGAAGCAGCTACTGCAGTCCAAGAACACCAAAACTAATTCCAAAATAAAGAAGTCTACAGATATATTATCACCTCTGAAAACTAAGATGGAATCCCTCACAGCCTGTTGTTATGTTATTATACCCTACAGACCTGAACAAAGCAGTGAATACACTGCTGTTTGGGGGTTAAAACAAGTAATACCGCTTAGGTGTAAAAGGAGATCTATTAAATTGAATTCTAATCTAAATTTTACATCTTTTTTATTTCCTGAAAAAATGTAACTGGAGTCAAGTATATTTCATCGTATTATATTATTTTAAGTGTATATTGCTATTATTAAAATCTAATTTGTCAGTCATCTAACCATTAGACCCATTTGGTAGACTGACAGGCGTAGAAAATAAATCTCGTTTTAGTGCTCCATGCCAATATTAGTAAAAGGGGACCCTTATTTGGCTTCCCCAGATTCCTTATAATAGACAATTGTCTCTAAAACTATTTAAAGTAATTTACCATAGCGGGTGTGCCACAATTTTAGATGTAAAACATTGATTTTATTTTGATTTTGAAGGTGAATTTCGAAGTGTATATACCTAGTATATTTTTATCATTAACTTTAAAATTAACAGCTCTTATTATTATCTTCATCACCACAGAGTGCTTATCCATAAATTTTCAGCGAGGAGAAATTTTATTTTGTCAGCTTTTGTATCAACCTTTCTTTATTTGAATACCATTAAAATACACAGTCCACTGCTGAATATAAGGCTCCCCTAAGAAATACCACAAAGCACGGTCCTGAGCCACCTGCATCCATCGACTTCCTGCATGTCTTACGAGGTCATCACTTCATCTAGTGGAGGGCGCCCTTCACTTCGCCTGACGGCACGAGGCTGCCACTCGAGAACCTTATTTTCCCCATCGATTATCGCTTCTTCGAGCTAAATGGCCAGCCTATTGCCATTTCAGCTTACGAATTCGTTGGGCTATATCTTTTACTGTAGATATCCTTATTCCTAAGTTTATCACGCAGAGAAACTCCGCTCTCCTATCAATTAGCACGCTATTATCAATGTTCAATTATAAGAGTCATTTAGGAGAAAAAATATAGGAATATATTACTTTGCAAATTTCATAGATGCGAAATAGTAAAAGAAATCTTAAACACTTAATCAGACTTTGCGTTCCCTTTTTTGTCTAGTATACACAGTAGTGCGTTATTTATTTATTCACAAGACACCAGCAGTGCACACATTATTAAAGTTTTTTGTAAGTAGGCTTAATCTAGCAATTGATGTGTGCCCCCTTATATATAGATGACACAGCTTCATAAAGTACTATTAAATTAAGACAAAACAAAGTCACTCCATGCTGCTACTGTGAATTTCTAGACAGAAAAACTCTGCTGCCGAGCTTACCACCACTAGATCAACAAAGCAGCTACTGAAAAACTTGATCTGAAAATTCAAAAATATTCATAAATGTTACATTATTAATATTTCTGTCCGTATAGATTCGTAGTTGGTCAGCACGTTACACTTCAAGACGACGTAGTTAGTCACCTCAACATCAGTAGAGTGACAGAACAAGATGGCGGGGAATATGCGTGTGTGGCCAGTAACACCGCAGGTAAAACCAGCCACGCAGCCAGAGTGAACGTCTACGGTCTTCCATTTATACGAGAAATGCCAAAAGTGACAGCGGTTGCTGGTAGTGACCTAATCATAAAATGTCCTGTCGCTGGTTATCCTATTGAATCTATTACTTGGGAAAGAGGTAAGTGCAATGACTACTATTTTTAATTGTTTAACAAGTATTTTTGAAGTAAAACTTCTTAACGCACACTTGACTTGGGGGGTAATCTGGCGAATGCGTGACGAAAGTGTAATCGGGCGAGGTGAACGGGAGTTGAGTGATGGATATAAGTAAGATGGATTTTTCGTACTTTTATTAATATTTGTTCAATACATTAAATATTCTACATTTAAAGTGAATAAAATTTTAATTGTTCATTTTATAGTTCATGTTTTGTGAATTTTCGAGTGAATAATAACAAATTATTAAAGGAAGCCGATAGTAAATTTAAATATTTGTAGAAAATTAATATATGTATACGTATATACATGTATATATTATACATATTTGCATATATAAACGCATACAGCATAATATACAGCTTATAGATACAGCACATAAGCACAATCGTTTTTTATTTCATCTTTTATTGACTAGTAAATTACACGTTCGTCAGAATGTGGACCAAAACGATGCATTTGTCAGACGTTATGACATCAACACACATTATAGTAGTGTTTAATACAATAACAATCGACATATTGTAAGCATAATTGCCATAAAATTTCGGTTATGGCATTCAGTGATTGTCATTTAATTATGTATAGCCGTTTAGGTTACTGGAACTCATAAGCAAACCTAAACCCCTAAACCCGAATATCATACCCGTTATTTTTTCGTTTTTTGGCAGTTGAAATAGCAGTATATATTTTATTTTTATTTCACCTTAAGCTTTGCCGCCCTATAAAAACAAAACTTGGAGAAGGACAGAGACATAAACGCAAAGGCTATAACTAATATATTAAGAAAAAAATAGCAAACAGCTTTGGCAATCGTTAGAAACACTTCGAAAAATATACTTAAAAACTAACTACACTACACCATATTAAAATAGACTTAAATATTTACTGTAATGTCAGCTGTCAAAATAGCGCCGATAAAGCATCGCTCTTTTGACCCTTTATTATTTGATTGACCGATGAAGAGCTATCGTATCACAAAGTTATCTATGCAAATGAGGCTGTAGTTTTTGAGTTTCAAGAAAGTGACCATATTAATTGGATGACCATGATACTCTCACGTACAATATACGTATAATTTTATGAAGTCTAGAGAAAAAAAAGACAGATGTAAAGCGAAATCCCTAAACTTAATTTTACACTACCTTCTCGAGAGCATCCATTGTGAAACTGTTAAAAAAATTGTTAGTGTTGATACATAGCGTGTTATGCAGTGGAGATAAAAGTCAAAAACATGCATGGTAATCTTTGATAAAGTATCACACTGGTTGAATTTTTAAGTTGGTATATCCGACACAGTCAAATTAGGTTTTTCAAAAAGTATTTTCCCTAGCAAGAATCGAACTCATTAATATAGCAGAAACACAGCCGCGAGTATAGTTTCTGTACTTAGCGATAATGTCATGCCAAATTAGCACAGTGACACTATAAGAAAACTTACATTTTCTTTCTTATCTATTTAAATTATGAACAGCTTATGACAATTAGAAGTTAAATAAAAGATATTCCATAAAAGGTTGAATTTATGGGGACAATAAAATGAAACTATTTCACACTTGTAATTTTATAATTCGAAATGATGACCTTTGACACCCAGGTGAATTCAGCGACTTGACGTTTGTAGCACATTTAGAATTACAAAGTTAATTCAAAAAGTTATTAAACGGATTTCCTTCCAAGACTTGACATTTATGATGATTATCCTTTTATTAAGGAAGATGCGCGAAATATTCGTCAACATTCTACAGTAGACTGTTCCTGCTCCTTTAACTTTTTAGTAAAAAGCGATTTGCGTCCTTATAGTAGAAAGTTTATATGCTGTTACTTTGTACTACAGTAATGAAAATAGTCGTGTAAGAGCCATGGTAGCTCAAGGGTTAAGCGCTCGCTGTAAATTTCACAATACGCGAGCAACCCGCGTTCGATTCTCGTCGGCACCAATGAAATTGTCAATGGGAATTTTTAAGTGCTGACCTACAACGTGCTCGGCGATGAAGGAAAACATCGTGAGGAAACCTGCATGTCTAATCAATAAGAAACAAATACTTTCGAAAACATGTGAAGTTCCCCAACACACACTAGGGCAGACTTATCAGACAGGAAGCGGTCACGCGTTCAAGCGTTCCGCGTTCGCGTTTTACGTTCGAGCATTCAGTCGCTCACGAATCACGAACGCTTGTGTTCTGGTTGACCGACGCGGTCAGAATGCCTGCTGTCTGGGTATGTCTATGTAACGTATTACAACACAATGATCGCAGAACGCGAACGCAGAACGCTTGAACGCCTGAACGCCTGAACGCCTTCTGTCTGATAGATCCCTGATAGATCCCGACAGACAAGGGCGGGATAAGACATTTCCTTGCCCTAAAACCCTCTCATAAACGAGAGGAGGCCTGTGCCCAGCAGTACGACGTATATAGGGTATTATTTTAACTTTTTTAATGAAACACGTCTTGTGTTTCTTCTTTACTTTGTTCAACTTAAAGATAATTGTTGATTTTAGCTTGTTTTGATATTAATAACATTACAAGAGTTATATTTAGGGCTAACATCGCAAGCCAAGAATCAAATTTACGGACAACCGAGATCACTTTGATAGAAGCAGTTGATTAACTATAAAAACCCAAGTCCATTCATCCATGGCGTATTGACACTATAGACTAGTGCTGCAAAATGCCTACCGGCTTTGGACTAAATGAAAAGGCGTGCTAAGACGCTTAGTAAACTAATATAGTTAGAACCAGTTTTATCAGTAGCCGCAAAGTAGCCATGATTTCGGGTTTTACAGAATATACTTCAGAGAGTGTGCGCAAGAATTTTACGACTTAATTTGCCTTTCCGTTCCATTATCGGACCACCAGACGCACGTCTAGTGTCAACGGCTTTGTTATCACCGTCGTTCATAATTTATACAGTAAAGGAGTGGAATAATAATAATTATTATTATTTATTTAATATATTATTACATTCATTAATTACACATTACGTTACGGTGCAATCATAAGTTTATAGAAACTTTACCGTGTACCGCTAATTTCACAGTATCTTTCCATCCGACTTTTTTTTTAAATTTATTTATTACACAAAAATACAGTCGGTTGTTCTTTATACAACTTTAGATAAACTGCAGGGCAGTTTGTTGGCGAATACATCACCCTCTTACGTTTTATGTACCTACTGTAAATTTTATAATCCTTAAGAAGTTAAAATACACATAAACTGTACCTACTGTAATTTAAAATGCAATCCTTAAAAACTTAAAATAAGAAAATTTAATTTACACTTAAGCGCTGTTACTACTGTTATATACCTTATTATATGTAACATGATTAATATTTAAACTCATTAAACACATTTAAAATCAAACTAATTTAAAACTATAACTTTAATTAAGACAATATTAATTATTACACATATAATTATATTAAAACATATAAATATAATTAACCTCTTGCCGTAATAATTATTAACTCTATGCTCAACGTATTTCTTTCGCGAAGTAATTCTAATATTTTTGTTAAATGTTCGAAATGTTTTAAACTCTAGATATTTAAATTGATCTATAAGATAAGATAAGATAAGATAAGATGCTTTATTTGTCAGAATATGGTACATTACTGTTGTTACAAAAGAATTTTGATCCTAAATATTCTGCCGTTTCCGGCGTACAAATATTTTCAGATAGATAATTTTTCTAATAAAGTAGAAAACTAAGACACTAATTATTATATAGTATAAAGATACTTGCCGCAATATTTATGGAAACCAAATCTATATAAAACAATCATCAATTAATTCATAATACTTTAGTTAAAACATTTCAAAAAATTAAATTCAGCAATTCAATAAACACTATTCGAGTCAAATTTATCTTTTAAGAAGTCATTTACTGAGTAATAACACTTATTTAAAAGAAATTGAAACAATTTACTTTTAAAGATTCCTATTTTCATCTCTATGAAACAAACAGGCAATTTGTTGTAAACATATATTGCCATACAATATACATTTTTTGAGTAGAGTTGTATTCTTTGCTTTGGTACACACAATTTATGTATATTTCTACTAGTCCTAATTACAACATCATTGTGTTTTTCAAATAAATTACTATTTTTGTGAACAAAGATACAGATTTCGTAAATGTATAATGCTGGAAGCGGCAATATTTTATGTTTGCGAAAAAGAGGAATACAACTATCTAATTGGTGTGCTCCGCATAAAGACCGTACACATTTTTTCTGTCCACGAAAAGCTCTAATTAAATCAACAGAATTACCCCATATTATTAAGCCGTAACGTAGGATCGAAGAAACATATCCATGATAGGCAAAGAGTGCAGCCTCCATATTAGCCACTCGTCTTAACCGATATAAAACAAAGACAAATTTATCTAACTTTTTACATAGGCTATCAAAATGTGTCTTCCAATTACAGAACTTGTCTATTGTTACACCTAAAAAGTTAGTATGGTTAACTTCTTCGATTATGTTTTTCCCATATTCTATTTTAAGTGGTTCTTGTTTACTATTATATGTCTGAAATCTTATCATCTTAGTTTTTTCGATGTTAATTTGTAAATTATTATGTCTTAACCAATCTATTATTGTTTCTAAGGTCCTATTTATTTCATGTTCGTAGTCAAAATATTTATTATTATTTTCAATATTAATGGTAATGTCATCAGCATATAGCACACATTTATGAGTAGTTACGTTACAAAGATCGTTGATATATATTATAAATAATAAAGGACCCAGTATACTTCCTTGTGGCACTCCGCATTTATTTTCGAAATACTGTGATCTATAGTTTTTTCTATTGCGTCCTGAGTAACTTGATACCTCAACGCATTGCATTCGCTGACTTAAATAATCTTGTATTAATTTTAATGCATTGCCTCTTACACCATATCTGCTAAGTTTGTGTAACAATAATTCGTGGTCAACGAAGTCAAATGCCTTG